AGGAGGAGGAGGAGGAGGAGGAGGAGGAGGAGGAGGAGAGGGAGAGTGGGGAAGGGGCAGAGAGAGAGGGAGAGAGAGAATCCCAAGCAGACTCTGTGCTGTCAGCGCTGAGGCTAACATAGGACTCCATCCCACAGACGAACTGTGAGATTATGACCTGAGCAGAAACCAAGAGTCCGACACTTAACCAATAGCCACGGGTCAAGGTGTCCCTTGACCGGATCTTTTTGAACATTTTAAACCACGCAATAAAGCACGTTTGGATGGTACATATTTATTATACTATCAGTCTGTCTAATGGAAGGGTGTGATACACAATTAGGATGTCCTAAAAATTTTTAGCTAAATTATTCCTTAACTTTTTTGACTAGCAAATCAAGTCATATGCCCCTTCTTCATATCAGGTGGCTTCTAAACTGCTGGAAATAGGAGAGGCCCTCTGGAATCCATCTAATGTGGGAGAGAAGAGAACATCCATAGGCAAGTAATGGTAACATCATGTGGTAAAGCCACATTTGGATAGATGATAATAATGGTAGTGACAGCTACTGTTTATGGGGTTCCCACTGTGTGTCTGGCATTATACTAGTCAGTTACCATAACTCAACACATTTAATCGCTATAACAACTCTTTAGGAAAGGTGTTGTTACCCCAATTATGTAGATGAGAAAGCTAATGCAGGGTGGTTCAGGGTCACCCAGTTAGCAAGTGGCACAGCTGTTTTATCAACTTTTAATTTTTTTTTTCAACATTTATTTATTTTTGGGACAGAGAGAGACAGAGCATGAACGGGGGCGGGGCAGAGAGAGAGGGAGACACAGAATCGGAAACAGGCTCCAGGCTCTGAGCCATCAGCCCAGAGCCTGACGCGGGGCTCGAACTCACGGACCGCGAGATCGTGACCTGGCTGAAGTCGGACGCTCAACCGACTGCGCCACCCAGGCGCCCCATGTTTTATCAACTTTTAATTTAGGTCTGCCTGACTTTAAAACTACTAATCCACACTGGGTGGCTAGGAGGCTGGGAGAGGTAAGAGGGTAAAGGTAAGCTAGTAAGAGCTGGTAAGCTGTTAAGAGGGTAGCTGAAGAGTGACTGATTGATTTCACAAGGAAGAGAGGTGAAGCATCACAAAGGAGATGAATTTGGCCTTCTAGAATGAGTTAGTCAGGTGAACAGGAAAGAACATTTTAGGGGTGCCTGGGTGGCTCAGTTGGTTAAGGATCTGACTCTTGATTTTGGCTTAGGTCATGATTACAAGATTTGTGAGATGGATCCCCCTGCCACCCCCCAGTTGGGCTTTGCACTGACGGTGCAGAGCCTGCTTGGGATTCTCTCTCTGCCCCACCCTTGCTCTTGGGTGCTCTGTTCCCTCTTTGTCTCTCAAATTAAATAAATAAACATTAAAAACAAAAACAAAAAAGAAAGCATTTTAGCAAGAGGCATACAAGCAAAGATATGGAAGCATGTTGGATTTGGGAAACTGACAGACTGGCACAGTGTGATGGTGGCACTGAGCATATGGAATGGGGCTACAGTCCTTGTAAGTGGATTAGTGTGTACCAGCACTGGTACGACCGCCTCACTTCACTCATGACCTCCACTGTGGAGCATGCTGCCTTGCCCCATCTGACACTGCATTTCCAGTCTGTTTCTGCTTTCCTCAACTCCTGATGCTGTGCCACCTGACACTTAATACTGCCCTTCTGAGAACCCCCCTTCCTGATCCCTTCCTGATCATCATTATCCCTCCAACAAGTCTACTTCCAGAAATTCCAGACAATTGACCCATCCAATCTAGCTTGAGACGAAGGACATTATCCATGTGCTATCTGCCTCCTAGTCCCAGAACTGGGCTTAGACTTTACCCTGTAGGTCAAGAATTCTTAATGTGGGATACATGGACCAGATCCATGGAATCATGAAGCACTAGAATTCTAGGAAAAATACCATCACTGAAATATTAAAGGGAATTGACGCTTTCATTAGCTTCCCAAAGGGAATACTTTCTCAAAAGATCAGAGACCAAAGATCATGCACTGTTCAATAATGTAGCCAGTAGCTACCCATGACTATTTAAATTATCTAAAATTAAATAAAATTAGAAATTCAATTTCTCAGTCTCACTAACCACATTTCAAATGCACATGTGGACGTTAGTGCAGATTATAGGACATTTCCGTCATTGCGGAAAGTTCTATTGGACAGTACTGGCCTAGATAATGAGGTGCCACTGAGGGCGGTAAAGAGGGGAACCACATGTGCTGTAAAAAGCTAGCTAACAGCAAATGGAGGACAGATCGGGGAAGGGTAAAGCCATTAGTCAGGGAGGCTCTGGGAGGAATGGATCTCATACAGTAGGTTACAAGTGTGAGTAATGGAGAGGAGGTTACAAGTGTGAGTAATGTGTCTGAGTACTTGGGGAAGGTCTGGATGGAGGATAGAGGCAGAGAAAGAAGTCAAAGCCAACTCTAAGCTTTCTAATTTGGAAAATGCCCACACAGGTTCCTCTCTGGTCTCCCTCTCCTTCTACTGCCCCTCCGTCCTCCTTAATACCCTGGGCCATGTCCTGGGTCCGGACGCTCACCTCACCATCTTCTCTGCCTAGAATATTCTTCCTCCAGGAATCCAAATGTCTTCTTCCCTTACCAGCATGAGTGACTAGGAGATGGGGAGACAGTGACTGTCACAGAAGCAGGTGTGAGGGTGAAAAAGCTGATGAGTCATTCTGCTGATGTGAGTCTGAAGGGGCCAGTAAAATGCTGAGTCATCACAGACCAGTGCCAAATATTCACTGAGGAAGGGCAGACAGTCACTACCAGGGCAGCATCTGGAAACAGGTAAAATTGCTCTCTCACCCCAGGTACCCAAGGCCCTCAAGTATTCACCATCATCTCAATCTTCTCTCAGGAAATGTCCTGATAAACTCAGCAATACTAAGTACTAAAACACTAATGTGTACAGTATGTTAGCCAACTGAAATGTTTTTCATTTGAATGTGGGAAAGGGTTCTAAGCTCTAAGACTGAATCTCTAATGGTGGATTTTTTATGCATTGCTGTCAAATCTAGTGAGAACACATTTCCCCTACGCCTTCTACTCCTGATATCTCATAGGTGGCCTTCCTTATGAGCTGACTAAAGCAGTTTGTGAAGGGCATTTAGCAAAGGGTGGACAGACAAACTCTTTGTGACTAACTCTCCATTACTCAAAAAATGTAAATGGATCAGAAGTCCCATCCCCTCACCCTCTGAGCATGTTGGTAAGCACAATGTTACTGTATAATGCGAAAATTTCCAAATAGAACTAAACTCAGGTCTATAAATACACATGATTAAGGCTTCAAATATAGCACTGCTTTATTTTCATGGGGGCTATTTCTGTGTGGTGATTGCCTGGCTGATTTGCAATTTCAGAATACAAATGGCTTTTCTCCATAGCTAATGGGAAACTTGGCAGGGTGCTGTACAGCCAGGCCCTCCTGAAAAAGTCTGTTAAATAGTGGTAAGTGCTCTTCTTCTGGATTACATAAGCAGAGCTGACAAAAGGCAACAGTACAACCCCAGAGCCTGCTAAAATGAGATAGTGTTTGTTTGGTTTCTCTTCTTATGCTAGAGGAATACCAACTCATCTGGTAATAAATCATGAAATGATCATGAGCACTTATCCCTATGATATTCTAAACTGAATATACTATGGTACAAATTAGGAATAAATGCCAGTGGAGATCTCTCTGACAATGCATTCACAAGTAACTAAAAAATGTTTCAATAAGAATGATGTAAATAAATTCATAACCATGGGGACTGAACCAAAAATCAAGTGCCTGAAAGCAACAAACTCTATGGCTGTTATAGGCAAAACACTGAGTAGATTTTATTATCTCCATCTAATAGGGAGAACAGTATAATTATGATCTATGGTGATCTCAAAACCATGAAGCAACTTTTCTAATATCACCACAGACAGTACATCCTACCTCTGAGCCAGGCCCTTGTAGATAGATACAACAAAATGATTATATTTTGAAGCAGTTTAGAGAATGATGCACTTTGGAGTCAAAGTTCAAATCCCAGTTCTCTCACTTACATATTTTCTGACTTCGGGGACACCTGGGTAGCTCAGTCGGTTAAGTGTCCGACTTTGGCTCAGGTCATGATCTCATGGTTCTTGAGTTCAAGCCTCACGTCGGGCTCTGTGCTGAGAGCTTGGAACCTGGAGCCTGCTTCAGATTCTGTGTCTCCCTGTCTCTCTGCACCTCCCCTGCTCATAATCTGTCTCTCTCTCTCAAAAATAAACATTAAAAAAATTCTTTTAAAATAAATATTTCTGACTTTGGATAAATAACAGTTAGAGAAGTTTTCTCAAATGTACATGGGGATCTTAAATACCTATGTCTTAGGGCTATTGAGAAAATCAAATTAGAAAGCATGTAAAAGCACAGTATCTGGCATGTGGTAAATACCCAGTAAACATCTTTAATATTTTGTCTAGAAGTCTACCTTCAGTGTCTCTCATTGATTTGTGGGCCTCCTCTTCCTGGCTCCATGGTCTCTCTTCTTGGAGAACCTTGTGTGAAAGAAACAGATCCAGCTAGAGTAGTTTTTCTCATCAAGATACAAATTTAGGAAAAGAGGCAGAGTTAGTGTGAAGTAAATAAAGGTTAGGTTTTAAGACTCCTCTCTTGGATGGCCCCTTCTAAGACTTTATACCTAATTTTGTATTCATAAATTTGCATCTTTTTTTCTTAAATATGCCCTTAAAATTGTATATGCTTTGGGCCCACCAAAACTCAGAAGTGCTCCTGTCTATTGCATAAGCTCTAAGCCCAGCTGGCAGCAGGTCTGACCCAAAGCTGTGGATCACAGGGCTGCCCCTGGGGGTTCTACTTTCACTTTCTGCTAATGAATCCCAGGATTGGTCAGAGATCAGGGATAAGGCCACACTTGCAGGCGGGGTCTAGAGGTTCCTTGATGAAGAGAAAAGCCAAGGGAGATTGATGTGGGAAACAAAGGCAAATGAAAAATTAAATTTCCTTAGTGCCTACATCCCATTGATAAGGCCTTGAAACAGGCAGAGTGATCTTCCTCTGGGAGCTCAGCTACCTTGATGTTGACACTCTGGTAAGAACAAACGGGAATCTTAGCCCAACTCTCCAGGATACTGTGAGTCTACTTTAAACATACAAAAATTCCTTTGGAAATTTTCTTTATGTCTACCCTCACAAGATATATGTTGACAATCATACTCCAAGCTTATGCCCCCCAATCTGAAGGGTCTCATGACTGAGTTTTTGCTAAATGGTAATTCATGGCCATTTCCTAACAGCAGCTAGCCCCTCAAGGTCCTGGAAACCTTGTTTCCAAATTCCTTAGAAACTTACTCTATCCCTAATTCCCTCCCAACCTGAAGGTATATCATCAGTCACCTGTCACAACCCCAGTGCAGCTCTTTCTGTCCACGGGTTCTGTCCCCGTGCTTTAATAAAACTACCTTGTTGCACTAAAGATGTCTCAAATATTCCTTCTTGGCCATCAGCTCTGAACCCAACATTTCAAACCACATCAGTATCAGGAATGAGGCAGGGTGTGACCAAGCTGAGGATTAAGGATAATTTTTCAGCAGAGACTTAAAGTTTAGTAAAATAAATACGCTATTACAAAAATAGGTACAATAAGGCCTTAAATCAATGTTTCTCGAATGTGATCCAGGCTGACTCTGATTCAACAGCTTGACCAATACAGAAAAAGCTAGATTAAAGGAAAATCTGCTAGCAGTTATTAGAAACCTGCTGAGATACCCAGGATTTGAAGGAAGGAGAGCTTACTGAGGTCATCCCAACTTTTGGCACATTATTTTACTCCTAGGGACATGCAGTGGACTGAATGTGTCCTTCCCAAATTCATATGGTGAAATCTAAAGCCCCAGTGCCATGGTGTTTGGAGGTGGGGTGATTAGGTCATGAGGGTGGAGCCCTCATGAATGAGATTAGTGCTCTTACAAAAGGGACCACAGAAAGCATTCTTGCCCTCCTTCCAACATGTAAGGTCACAGTGAAAAGACTGGGTCTTCACCAGACCCCAATGTGCTGGCACACAGATCTTTGACTCTCTGGCCCCCAGAACTGTGAGAAAGAAATGTGTGCTGTTTGAACCACTCAATTCATCTTATTTTTGTCATAGCAGCCCAAATGCAGTAAGATAGGGCATTTGGCAATTCTTGGTGCAGGGCAAACAGCTAAGAAGTCAGCAGGAACTTGATGGGACTGGGAAGATAAATACTGAAGTCTGAAGCTGCCAAGGCAATTGTAGAATCAAGATCCTAGACAAAAGTGGAATGCAAAAATGTGAGCCCACCACCAGCATCAGTTTTCCTCAGGCTATTTACTGATTAAGTCGTGCAGGACAAGAGGCTTGGAAGCCAAACAAATTGGGTAAAATAGCAAAGCAGAATTTGGGGTTGTTTCATAATGCTACGGAGACAAAAATGGAGTTCAGAACTAGCCAGGGAAGACTGACTGAAAAAATATCCCAGGCCTTCACTTCTAGAGGACTACATCCTAATACTGAGGGTGAGACAGAGCTACTCTGATATTCCCAGAGACAGCAAGCCAGTCTGGGAGAGGTGTGGCCCCAACTAGATTGAGGCCATCTGTTCCCTGGCTGTGAGAGAAGAGGGTAAGCCCTCTGTGGGGGGAGAAAACACCAACCAGAGCCAATGCAATGTTTCAAATACAATGTCAGGCACTCATTAGAGAGTTGTGTGTACCACTAAGAATTTAGTGTATCAGATACATTAAGATAACTATGATTTATATGTTCCAGAAAAATACAAGACAGAGAGTTCCACCAAAGCAATGGAATTTGTTGGGGCACCTGGGTGGCTCACTTGGTTAACTGTCCGACTCTTGATATTGGCTCAGGTCATGATCTTGCATTTGTGAGACTGAGCCCCACATCCGGTTCCATGCTGAGCATGGAGCCTGCTTAGGATTCTTTCTCTCTCTCTGCCCCTCCCCTGCTCACGCTTGCGCTCTCTCTCTCTCTCTCTCTCTCTGAAAAATAAACATTAAAACATTTTTTTAATTAAAAAAATAAAGGAAGACAACAAAATTCAAATATTCAACAATATAACATTTGTAACTTCCAAGATCCAATAAAAATTTACCAGGAATGTAAACAGTAGCAATTTTGGCCCATAACCAGGAGAAAAAAAAACAATCAACAGAAAAATGCATCAATGCAATTCACCTCATTAACAGAATAAAGGAGAAAAGCTTATAATCATTTGGATGAATACAGAAAAAAAATTGTTAGAATTCAACACTCATACATGTTGAAAAAAAAAAAACACTTGGCAAACTAGGAATAGAAGGAAACTCTTGAAATCTGATATAGAGTATCACAAAACCTATAGCAAACACTGAATAGTGAAATATTGAAAGCTTGGCTCCTAAGATTGGGAAGAAACAAAAATACTCATTCTGACAACCTCTATTCAACACTGTGCTGAAGGTCTTCAACAGGCCCATGAGGCAGAAAAGGGATAAAAAGCATATAATTAAAAAGGAAAGAAAGCCTTAAGATTATAAACAGAAGCCAGACTACCATTTTCAGAGGTGACATAATTATGTATGTAAAAAATCCAAAAGAATCTACAGTCAAACTCTAAGAAATAATCAGTGAATTAAACAACTTCACTACATACTAGGTCAACATACAAAATTATATTGTATTTCTATATATTAGTAACAAACAATTAAAAACTGTAATAAAATGTCATCAAAAAGTACCATTTATAAGAACATACAAAAATCAAATACCTAGGAATAAATTTAATAAAAGATGGCCAAGACCCTCTATAAAAAATTATAAAACATTATTGAGATTAAAAAGCTTAAGTAAATGTAAAGTAGTACCACATTCCTAGATTGTAAAGATGTCAATTTTCCCCCACATTGATTTATGGATTCAATGTAATCTCAGTAAAAATCCCATCAAGTTTTGTTTGTTTGTTTTTTTGTAGAATTGACAAGATGCTTCTAAAATTTATACAAAGATTAAGAAAGGCCAGTATCTTGAAGAAGAAAGAATATAGCTGCTGGATATACACAACCAAATATCAAGATTATAAAGTTACAGTAATTAACACAGTAGAATGCTGGCACAAGAAAACTGTAAAAATGAAATTTTAGAAATAGACCCACACATAAACTATCTTTTGATTAATAACAAAGATGACATTACTGTGTAGCAAGGGAAAAGATGGTCTTCTAATAAATAGTGCTCAACTGATCCCTACGTCATATCATACAGACAAACCTATTTGAGAGGGCAGACACATAAAGTACATTCTGTATGATTCCATTTATATAAAGCTCAAAACCAAAACTAATCATGGCAGAAGACAAAATATTTCTTTGGATAGGGAATAATGACTGGTAGGGGGCTTGCTAGGGAATTTCTGGAGCTGGTAATGTTCTGTTTCTTGATTTGGGTGATGATTACAAGATTATATTCACTTTATGAAAGAAAACGTATTGAGTTTGTTCACCTGACTTGTGTACTTTTCCATATGTGTAATATACATCACTAAAAAGTTTACTTAAACAGAAAAAAGTGGTCTGTACATGGCTGGCATCAGAGCCAAAGAAGTTTATGCATTTCACAAACAAAATACCCTCCTTCAATTGTCATTTTTTCCTAAAAATGTATTTCACACGATGTTTCTAAACGTATCCCTTAGGATCCCCAAATGCCTACTGGTATGTAGCACTTTCTGCAAGGTCCCACTAACTTAGGAACTCCTCATAACTGATACTTTCAATCTGTTGTGAGAGTGCCAAATGTGATGTCAGAGATCTTTGCATCCATTTGACCTGCATTTGACATTTCAGACTAGCCAAGTCAAGGTCAGGTGATTCTTGTAACTTAATTCTAGACAAGGACCAATAGTTTCACTTCACATGCCCAATATTAATAGTACTATGGCAATTTAAGAGAACTATGTGACCAATTTAATTCCTTAAGTATTGATGACAGCTGACATTCATGACTTCAAAGCGAGGGCTATATTTCTACGGAGGAGACACATTCTCTACTTGCTCAGATGAGCCTATTCATCTACTAAGAGTCCAAGTAGAAGGGCACTTGGGTGGCTCAGTTGGTTGGGCATCTGAGTAGGCTCAGGTCATGATCTCACAGTTCGTGAGTTCAAGCCCCACATCAGACTCGCCTGTTAGTGCAAAACCAGCTTTGGATCCTCTGTCCCTCTCTGCTCTTCCCCTGCTTATGCTCTCTCAAAAATAAATAAAACTAGATCAAGAGTTGCAATGGTCGCTTCTAAAAACTTATCACAATTGATTTCGTAATTGTATAAGAGCGTCTTGCTTTGAATTATTTAATAGAATTTTACTCCTGGGAACTTTAATTCATATAGATTTTCTTACAGCTCCCAAGTGCTCTAAGACTGGGTGTAGTAGGTACAGTTAAATTGGGAGGCTGAGCCAGTTGGTGTACAATGGTAATTGAAAGTGCAGGTTTTGGTAAATCTTATCTTTCCCTTTATTGTATGTTACACTTTAAAACTGTTATTTTACCTCTTCTGGCTGTGCTTAAAAATAAAAAAGCTTTAGCATTTCAGAGGCACAGATTATGTACTAGGGTTCCTTCCCATTTTATGTTTCTTATACCTCTTTCAGAACAAAACAAGTATTAATTTGGCTTTTACCCATAAATATAAACTTATAAACATCAAAGCATGTTTTCTATAGATCTCTCATCTTCTAGCCTGATTTTTGGCAACCTCATATCCTCTCTGGAGTTCTAACACGAGAGGAATTCTTTAATAAGCCTGCTTTACTTATGTGCGGGGTGTAGGTATTGCTCCTTCTACTTTGTCTCAAGCAAATAAGTTTGTTTGTTTGTTTGTTTGTTTATTTTTGAGAGAGAGAGGCAGAGAGAGAAGGGAGACAGGACATCATGACCTGAGCTAAAACCAAGAGTCAGACACTTAACTGACTGAGCTAGTTAGGTGATCCTCAAGCAAATAAGTTTAAAGAACAGCATGGCACGGGATTTTCCAGAAAGTGGGAAGGTGGTTCTAGCCCCAGTTCAATTAACTATGGTGTCCTAGGCAAATCACCAATGCCTTTGTGTTCTTACCTACAAATTAACGAGGTTCCTTCTGGCATTGGTGCCTATCACACAGTAGGCTCTCAACAGTAATGCACAAGAATTAAATTCTTTCAAAGACATCTTCCAGCTTTTTTGTATATTTAACCCAATTAATTTCTGTGAAAAGTAGTAAACCAGCAAAACAAAATGCAAATTAACTAGGCCTACTCCTATTCCACTATTATTCTCGGGACAGTCTGGGATTAGAAACCCACACTGGAAGGTACTCCGGAAGCAAAGGGGTAATGAGAATACAGTAGTACAGTAAGCACACTTATTCATGAACAACTGAACTAAAAAGAAAAAAAAAAAAAGACCTTCCCAAATGGCCAAAATGAACTAATGAACAAAAGTAGAAAAAGATAGTATTTGATACAATCAATTCTTATCCAGAACTTTTAATTTTTTCAAAATGTCAGTAAAAGCAGTTTCTCAAAACAGTTGTTTATGCTAAACCAGGCATCTCCCAAGAAGCAGCAGCTACCACTGAGGCTCTTGAATTTAAATGTACTTCAAGAAGAAGTGTTACGTGAGTGTATTCTGTAAGTCAAAGATGGAGAGGAGCGGGATGGTGGGCACAGTCATCTCTGGAGATCAAGTGAGAGAATTCAACATGTCTAACGCAAGGTTGACTTTTGGGGTCCTTTATGTTAAATGTTCTCAGGAAGGAGGAGTTTTGTCATTTCCTGTATTTGCCTTTATTTTCTTGTATTATTTCTGGCCTACCCTTCTTGCCCATTCTTTTCTCTTCTCGAAACTTAAACTTTTTGAAGAAACACGCATTTAAAGGGCTGAGAAAACAAGACATATTGGAAATAAGAACTGTTCTTTCACTGCTTGGTAAGAAATGAGAAAGGTCTAGTGTGAAATACTGGAGTCTAAAATTAAAATCTAAACAGAGAATGCTCAGTGACCTTTTCTTAGGAGGCTTACATGAAAGAATGTCATGGTACACTGATCAGATTTGTATTCATTTGCATTTTCAGGATGTTGCTATTAATACATGACACTCAACAAATTACACAATATGACATTTTGTACAAATCACTTCACCTCTAGTTTTTTCTTCAGCTCTGTTACTTCAGCCTCTGGTTAATTAGAAAAAAAAGTTAAGAGCCTTTTTTTGTTGTTGTTGTTTTTGTAGGGGAGGAAAAATTTTACCTTGACCTTTTTAGGGTTGGTGGCTGGGGCCTGAGAATTAAACCAACAAAAGACAGGTTAATAGAAGAGGCATAAAAATGTAACTAATACTTTCAACTTTACATCCATTTTGGGTAAAAACCCCAAAGAAGCTGTTAGGCTTAGAAGTTTATATACCATCTTAACAAAGAGGGATAAATGCTGAAGCAAATAGGCAAACAAAAAGGGGCTTAGGGCTTTTAGAAGTGGCCAATTGGGGGCAAGTAAAAAATGCGGAAATGGATGAAGAGAAGGGTGATTTTAGTAAGGTTTGTTTATGTGGACTCAGCTGAGTGCCATCTGTTTCCAGTAATAAAGGTTACTGTCCTCTTCCTAGTACAGAAGAGAGGGGACACCTTGACAAATGAAAGTTTATATCTCTTTTATGAAGGGATATTTATGCCCTGAGTTTTGGCAGAAGCAGAGGACAGACAGTTCTTCCTGCATCTGCTGCTTCTCAATGGCCTTTAGCTCAAAATAACCCTTATGCCGAAATGGCACATTTCAGGGTGCCATATTATAATCCCCTTAATTTTCTAAGAGGGAAATCAAAGTTCAAACACTCTGGCAAAGATATTGTTTCCCAAACCGTGTTCTGCAGTTAGTTCCCTAAGATGTCTTATTTAAAAACAAAAACAAAAAAGTTCTATGGTCAAAGAATTTGGGAAATGCTGAGTTAAACATGGTTTTTTTTTCCAGCAGGAGTTCTCAGAACCTTTAATTAACTAACAATGCACTATGTTTCTGCAAAACGGGAATAATTCACTGTGTTCCTCAACCTTATTTGACCATGGAGCATGTTTTTCAAGACTAGTGTTTTCCTGTAACATATGTTGAGAAGTAATGGGATTAGCCACCTTCGTATGTAATGCAGAAGTTTGGAACAGCCACGGAAGTAAGTATAAGCCAAAAGATGGGAGAACTGAATAAAACTGGCACAGTATCAGTCAGCAGTAACCATGCTACATTCTGAGTCCTGCTCCAGGGGACTAAGCTCTGGTTTGTGTCCCTAGGAAGCAAACCAAAGTGTGCAAAGCTTCTGGATCCCATTGAATTAAATCCCCTCCTCGGACACTAAAGAGTACCAACGGATGAAGAAAAAATGGTCTCATGTGTTCATTCCATCTTTGGCTCAGTACAGCTCCAGTTGCATTATTCTTAAACATCTATTAACATGATTGCTTCATAATTACAAAGGCTAACTGCCAAGCCTTTTTCACAGGAAGCAAGGCACTGCTTATCTTTAACTGCTCTTCTGGCTCACGCAAAAGGGTCAGCTTTTTTAAAAAAATCTCATCTTCTGTTAACTGAAGAAACATCTCTAAAAATGTCATCTGAGTGGCTGCAAGATAAAAAAGAAAAAGGACATTTGAGGCACAAAGCTAACTAAATGCAACAATTAGAGGATTTGGGGTGGGGTGTACAGGATTCAGAATTGACGGAAGTGATCAATACATCAGAAGCATGATGGAACCTAGTATCATCCCTCTGGTTATTCCGTTCTGTCAGAATTTTCATTTCAGCAGAGACCATCTTCAGTATTGTGATCCTCAATATACTGATTCTCACTCCCAATCAGTAGACTTGATCTTTGATCCTCAAATGTCAGCTGCTGCCACATGTCCCCTTCATCATCTTCCATGTTCTCAGAATAGGGGCAAAGCTAAGCACCCAAGTCAGAAGACTGGTTGGCAATTAACTTCTATTGTCTCAAAAATGTGTATGTGGGGGGAAACGGAGAGATAAGGGCTAGTATCTGCTGAACACCCACCCAGGTGCCAAATATTTTCACAAATATTAACAAATTAGTTGTCATTAACGGACCTTTTTTCAATTTTGAGAATAAAGAAAACTGGGGCTTAAGTTATAAAATGTATCCAAGGTCAAACCAAATGATGATAAGCAAATGAGGTAAAATTTGAGCCAGGTCTGCAAGAGTCCAAAGTCTATTTTATAGTATCATGCAGTTTCCTGATCATAAAAAACCTCCATTTATATAGGAGCACAAATGACCCATTTATGCCATTTTTCTCGGTACCTAGCACATCTCAACTTTTATCATGACACTAACTTCAAGAGACCTGATAATGTTTAGATCCTCTCATTCATTTGCCCAAATCAATGGAGCTATTTATTCTCAACTGCTGGTAATGAACTTTCTTAACTCAGCATTTTGTGGAAAAAAAGTCTAAATACTTGAATTGCTTCATTTCATGCTCATTCACTTGCACACATCTTTTTGGTCTGCTTTTAAAAATAGTTTCCAAATCATGACATATTCAGATATGGCAAACAGGATGGAGGGCAATGAGAACACTAGTCTGAAATGGTCACGTGGCTAGAGTACCTGTGTCTGTTGTAATCCCAAATGGAAAACTCTTGAATTTATGAAGCAATCATGCTTGTGTTTTTGACTGAAAAACAAAACAAAACAAAACAAAACAAAAAACAATGAACAAAACACTGCCCTAAGACTATAGACTTGGATTCTAACCTGTTCTTCCATAGTTGCCACCTTAGTTAAGACTATGTGACTCAGTTTCCTCATTAATTAAAATAAAAATAGATCTCTTAAGTTCGTTTAAAAATTCCAAAATTCTATAGTCAACTGCAACTCACTGATTGTTCCTGTGAATAAACAATTTAAAATAATTCAAATCCTGGGGCACCTGGGTGGCTCAGTTGGTTAAGCATCTGACTTCAGCTCAGGTCACGATCTCGTAGTCTGTGGGTTCGAGCCCTGTATTGGGCTCTGTGCTGACAGCCTGCAGCCCCGAGCCTGCTTCAGATTCTGTGTCTCCCTCTCTCTCTTCCCCTCCCCTGCTCATGCTCTATCTCTCTCAAAAATGAATGTTAAAAAATTTTAAGTAATTCAAATCCCAACACTATCATCCCTTCTAAAATTCCTTTGACAAAGGCAAAGGATTCACCCATCTTCCAGTTAAATTTTCTTTTTAGCGTGACTGAAAATCAGGCAGCAGAGAAAAAGTAAGTCACTAGCTAGACAGAGTGATATATAGTGTTTGCAAAATGGTTTACTTTATGAGAAAGCAGCCCAACAGTTTGCTTATTCTGGTTGCAGGTATCATGATTCATATCCTCTAACAGGTAGAGAGAAACATCAATCTTTCCCATGAAACACAGTAATACAGTAAAGCTTCTTTCTCTCTTGCTTAGCCTGACACTAGATATTCACAGATGAAAGTAATTCTGTGAGTCCTATTCCTCATACAGATGACCACAACACCTGGTTCCAAATTCCTATAATCAGAGAAATTATGTAACAGACTATCTGGCTCATTCCTTACTCTGATAACAAATAGACAAAGATTTTCCAGTATAGTTTCCTTGGTGTTTCCTTCCCCTCATCATCCCTTCCCTTTCCTTTTCTTGTGTTCTGATGAAGGAAGACACCGTGTAGTAGGAGAGTCTGACTCATCTCCATCACAGCCTGGGAGAGTTGAGCAAATACTAGTCAGTCAAAAAATCATTAACTTGACTTTCTTGGTTTAATTTCTTTGTAAGAGTTCATTCCTTCAATATGTCAGGATTAGAAGCATTTCAGTGGCAGTGTGCGGTTCTTGCCTATTTCCTCAAAGGTTCTTTGTACATGGTCAAACTTTTAGGTAGATGCACCAGAGGGGATACTTTGGGGGAAATGCTCCCCATTAGCCACTCTAGCAGACATCTAAATGGGGAAGAGAAGTAGTGGGCAAGTTCTCCCTACCTTATTCATCTCTCTTCTGGCCACCACGCCCAGGAAACTTCATAAGCAGAGGTCCCATGTCAGAAAACATCAGTCACACTATTAATTTTACCATCACAGAATCTACTCTACCTTTCATTCACATTGAGGACAGTATAGTAACCTCAGAACAATGCTTCTCAAACTACAAAGTGCATATAAATCCCCTGGACACTTTGCTGAAATGCTGATTCACATTTAATAGATCTGGGGTAGAGTCCACACTGCTGCAATTTTAACAAGGTTCAGTGGATGCTGATACTTCTAGTTTGCAAATCACACTTGAGTAGCAAGGTCCTACTCTGCCCTCCCAAATCTAGAGCACATTTTACCTTAAGGTCTCCTTGTGGCTGGTTATCTACCAAGAAAACTAAACAGGGCAGAAGATTCAGAACCTCTGCATTGTGAGAATTCTATCCTATATAGGGGAATTGGGTTCAGTGACTTTCACTGCCCAGACTCTGGATCTTTCTTCCTGCCCAGATGGATTTGCCAGATCTTCTTGCTCAGCTGAATGACATACCCTGGCTCAGCCTTACCAGCTTGATTTGATGCCACTCTGCCAGCCACTCAAACATTAGGAACATTTGCTAAAATAGAAATACCCAGTCCTAACCCTGAGATACAGATTTATCAGGTCAAGAGTGGCCCCAAGAATGAACAGACACTCTAGGTGGTTCCAATACATTATGAGACTTTGGGGCAGGAAATACATGTAGCCTCTTTGATCAGAGAAATCTAGACCTAACTATGGCTGTTAATGCCTTTACATCAAGGAAGACAGCCAAGAAAGGTAAGAAAAAAGGAATCACAATTTGAGTATCTGAAACTATAACAGAAGAAACAACTTCGTCCCCAATTTGAACACTTTCTTAAGGGTGCTTATGGTTGATTTCAGTGTATTTGATCCCCTTCCTTAGAGAAGTTCACTGAAAATGTAAAGTATGTCTTATATATTCTATAGCAAAGTCTTTTAATATAGGTATGAATAAGATATATTTGGTTAATTATAAAAATATCAAAGGAATGGCTATTTGCCCTTCTGACTGAAGAAATGAAACTGAAGTTGCTCATACACATACAATTTTCTTTTAAACATATCCAAGAAGACAAGCACGGAGATCAATTAACAAAAATAATGACTTAACATTAATTAGTACCCTTAAAATAGCAGAAGCAAATATAAAATACAAAAAGCAGCTTTACTTAGACTTTATGAATGAAATGTCCTCCCTAAGAAAGGCTACAGTTGGGCTACTTGGTCTCTTCTGAGGCAGGTGTGACATGCTGGGGGGCGTTAGCCTCTGCTGGTACAGCTGCAGGTCCTGCCATAGAAACAGTGGTATCAGACACAGGAGGGACAGCTTCTGGGTTGGAACTAGCTCCTGTGTGATCGGGGGTGGTCTCAGTCTGAGAGGCTGAGGATTCTTGACTGCAGCTGGCATCTGTGAGACTGGACAGATCAGCCTGGGGAGGATTGGCCTCTTCTTCTATTTCTACTTCTGTTTCCTGACTTTGAACTTCCTCAGCTTCTTCAACCATAGCAGGTGGTAGCTGTAATAAAGTCTAATGAAAAAAAAGAAAACATCAATATGAACTCAAATGAAAGAAAAACACTGGCTTACAAAGCTAAACTCTCACATTAATGTTACTTTCTTAATAGATACCGTTCACTCTACAGTTTTCCAAAACACTCCTGGCCATATTATAATACAAACGTAACAACTCTGATGACAATGGCCTAGGTCTTCCTGACTCCAAAGATCAAAGTACATATTAAATCTTCAGAGAAGAATATAAAAATTGATAAGCTTAGGGGCGCCTGGGTGGCGCAGTCGGTTAAGCGTCCGACTTCAGCCAGGTCACGATCTCGCGGTCCGTGAGTTCGAGCCCCGCGTCAGGCTCTGGGCTGATGGCTCAGAGCCTGGAGCCTGTTTCCGATTCTGTGTCTCCCTCTCTCTCTGCCCCTCCCCCGTTCATGCTCTGTCTCTCTCTGTCCCAAAAATAAATAAACGTTGAAAGAAAAAATTAAAAAAAAAAAAATTGATAAGCTTAAAAAAGCTAAAAAGCAAAAATATCTGCTAGAACACTTCTGCAAAAACACCGGCTCGTTAGGACTGACCAACAACAGCTCAAGAAAGGGCCAACTTTAATCAAGGAGCCATGTGAGGGGAGGAACCAAGCCTTCAGACAAAACCATGGCCAAGAGGGAACAGCATGGTACAAAGCTTCTGTCTCACTCTACCAGAACACTGGAGCAGCTCCACAGGCTTAGCCTTCCCTTTAGAACAGCTACAATAAAAAAGGCCAACCATGACAAGTGTGGGTGAGGCTATGCAGCTACAGCTCTCACACGCTGCTGCTGGCAATATGGTGCAACTACTGTGTAAAAACAGATTGGCAGTTTCTTAAAGAGTTGGACACATAGGGGCACCTGGGTGGCTTAGCTGATTAAGCATTGGACTCTTGATTTCAGCTCAGGTCATGATCTCACAGTTGATGAGTTCAAGCCTCGCGTCAAGCTCTGTGCATGGAGCCTGCTTGGGATCCTCTCCCTCTCTCTCTGCCCCTCCCCTACTCACGCTCTCTGTCTCAAAATAAACAAATAAACTTAAAAAATTTTTTTAAAAGTTGAACACATATTCACTCCATTATTCAGCCATTCTACTCCTAAGGAATTTACCCAAAAGAAAATACAAAGATTGGTATAAGAATGCTCACAGCAGCTTTATTTGTAATAGCCAGACTTGGAAAGAACCCAACTGTCCAGCAACAGGTCAACGGGTACACTTGGTACATCCATACAATGGAACATTATTTGTCAATAAAAAGGAAATGACAGTATACCGATTGACAGGAAGATCCCTGGGGGCCTGGAGAAGGTGGGAAAGGGACCGATGAAAGATGAGAGGGGTTACCAAGGGGCACTAGGAACCTTCTGGAAATAATTAGTATGTTCATTATCTTGATTGCAGTGATGGCTTCACAGGTATTTACATATGTCAGAACATACTGAATTATATACTTAAATATGTAGAACTCATTGTTTGCCAAATTCTATCCACATAAAGTGTTTTTAAATCTCTCAAAATAAATAAACTTTAAATAAATGGATGTTACATGAATAACAACAACCCTGTTTGGTTTAGCTGTTTTCCCACAGCAATCAAGTACTTTAAAGGCATAATCTACAAAGGCAAAGATTCTTTCTACAACAACAAAAAAAATAAGACTGAATTTTGAGAAAACTCACCTGATGATAATGATGTGTGGTCTGTATCAAATGCATGTACATGTTATATACAAAGTTTGCCATCTGGGGCATATTCTTTATTATCTGTACTTCATGAGATGGCCTCTCTCCATTCTAGAAGAAGGCAAAAAGAAAGTTAAGTACAGTAAGAAAGTTAATATGCTAAAAGCGAACATTCTAGAAGCCCATGTCTTATGTATAAGCACTAGGGTTTGGAGGACAGAACAGTAACAGGACAGGGTGCCTGGGTGGCTCAATGGGTTAAGTGTCCAACTCTTTGTCTTTTCTTTCTTTCTTTTTTTTTTTAATGTTTACTTTTGAGAAAGACAGACCATGAAGGGGGAGGGACAGAGAGAGGGGGACAGACAGAACCTGAAGCAGGCTTGAGGCTCTGAGCTGTCAGCACAGAGCCCAATGCGGGGCTCAAACTCACAAATCGTGAGATCATAACCTGAGATGAAGTCAGATGCTTAACCAAATGAGCCACCCAGGTGCCCCAAATGTCTGACTCTTGATTTCCATTCAGGTCATAATCTTGTGGTCATGGGATCAAGCCCAGGTTGGGCTCCTCCCTGGTTATGGAGCCTGCTTAGTATTCTCTCTCTCCCTTTGCCTCTCGCTCATGTTTTCTCTATCTTAAAAAAAAAAAAAAAGGACAAGAAGGACAAGAATAGTCACAGGACATTAAGAAACAAGTGTGAGTGACTGGGGCGCCTGGATGGCTCAGTCAATTGAGCATCCAACTTTGGCTCAGGTCATGATTTTGCAGTTTGTGAGTTCAAGCCCCACATCGGGCTTGCTGCTCTCAGCAAATAGCCTGCTTCAGATCTTCTATCCTCCCTTCTCTCTCAAAAATAAATAAAAGATTAAAAAAAAAAAAAAAAAGATGTTAAGTGTGAGAGTCCAATAAGGACTTCAGAAAGAGAAAGTGATTCAATTTAAATTTAGTAAAAGAGACTAGAAGAAAGCTAAGAGTTACTACCTTATAATACAATTTCAGGTTGGTAAGTAAAATTTATGAGTTTTGGTCTAATTCATGCAGAAGAGTAAGAGATAAATGATCAGTTGAATAGAAAGAAAAATCAACATTGTCTAAAGTATTGTCTCTAATACTTTGTATGCAACAAAGGCAATTTTCAATGTTATTCAGAAATAAAATATTAAACCTATTTTTCCTATTTTTGTTTTTCTAAAAATAAGCTAATATTACTGGTATTTAATATATAGACTTGTTAGTCATAAGGGTGAATATTCAAGAAATTTTTCCCTAATAAAGCATATGGTCAAATGCTAGTCTAAAGTGCAAATTTTGTGGTATCTAAGAACTCTATAGGGGAGACTTAAATTGTGGGAATCCCAGATTCAGTAGTTCTGACACAGAATGAGGTGATTCTGATGCAGTCGTTTCCCACAAAAATCTGAGAAATACTGCTCTAAAGTGGTAAAGCATGAATGAAGACAATAAAAAATGTGCATTTCTTCCTAAACCATCCTAGAATAAAGATGAACAACTTTCCTATTTATAGTCAACTCTAAAGTATTTTATAAAGTCTCACCCTTTCTCACTGTAGAAGCAATTCAGAAGACTATAAAGGTAAAAAATTTTATCATCAAGTAACAAATTAAGGCATGTAACGTCAGAAATACGAAGTGTATTAAATGGTATTTCTCAGAATTAAGCAGGACGGTAGTATTACATGTAAGTAGGTGTTCTTTTGATAATGGTCACTTTCTGCAATGGTCACCACTTCTGTATGCCAAGACCGACATGCTGTTACAACTATGAAATACTACCTTTACAACATGGAAGGCTTTTTGTTTGTTTTGTTTTTGTTTGTTTGCTTATTTTCTGGTGGCTCTGCTGGGAGCTGCCTCTTCTGAGACGCAGCACTAGTGGCACAGCCCCGCCCGCCTCCAACACTGATCTCTTGAGCAGAAGGTGGGGAGATGCTCTCAGGTAGTCCCCCAAGGGCTTGACTCCATGGTGTTGGGTAAGGCACTAGTCTTTAAGCCTTCTGTTCATTGGTACTGCCTGATCTCCTCCACATGTCTCCAGGTGTGTCCCTGCAGCCTTTGGATAAAAAGACTGCCTCAGACCTTGTGTTAGGAATCTGCCTGTTTAATAATCAGCCCACAAAAGAATGAGAAGTTCAGAGCCATAGGATTGTGTCCAGACTTCAGAGGCTGACATTCAAGGCTTTACATGACTCCACCCCCTCATATCATTCCACCCTCATTCTTCTATTCCTCTACAGAAACACTGCTTTAAAAAAAAAAATGCAGTTAAAAAAAAAAGTACTCAGCCTTATTATAAAACAAACACACAGCATTTAATCTTTTCTCAAAAGGGGGAGTAGGGGGGGCAAATAAGTGTACTGTGAACATTGAAAACAGCTTTATTTAAAACCCAAATGGATCTCTAAGACATTGCATTAAATGAAAAATGCAAAGCTCAAAAGTCACAACCTAAAGATTAATGAGTATGCTAACCTTTGTGTAAGAAAGAAAACAATATAAAAAAATAATCAGGTTATTTGCTCCTTTATGCAAAAGGAATGTAGGAAGCATAAACCAGAAATTAAAGGGACTGGTCACCTTTTGGGGTGGGGGTGGAAAAGGGGAGCAAAGATGAGGGGTTTAACAACAGTAGCAGCGATGAGGAGGCAATGACATTTCTGAGCATGTCCTTTGTTAAGTGTATGTGCTATTCCCTCCGACATTCTCCAAAAATGTAGGTAAGAAAGCGTTCTCCAAGAGCTAAACCATTTATTACTCTGTTATCAAGTAATTAGTTAAGTTCTCCTTAAAAAGCTGAAGAGAGGCAGTACAGTACAGTGATTAACAAGGAGGATTCTGGAGTTACACTGCCTGGGTTTTCAAATCTTGGATTCTCCATCTATGAGATGCATGACCAAACTACTTAACTTTGCTAACCCTTAGTTTCCTCAGATGTAAAATGGAGTTAATAAGAAACCTTACTGAAAAGGACTATTAGATGAAGTGAGATCATGCATGTAAAGAACTCACTGCCTGATACCTAGTGAGTACTCAATGTTAGCATGTATTGTTATTTTGTGCAGAAAATCTAATTCAGTTCCACAGTGTAAGGAGCGCTCTAAACCAGGGATCGGATGATCTATGTGATGATGTTCCTAGCTACTGTGATCATCTGTAAAAGAGCACTGTTCTATACAATGAAGAAAGAGTCCTACCTTTCTACTGGTTGGGAAAGGTTCAGTTGGAATTATATGCAAATGAAGTGGACGGGCAGTGAGCTGGCTAAAAGCTGGCGTTAGCTCAAAACAGTTTTGGAAGAGGGATACTCTTGCGAAGATATACAGTCCAAGTCTGGCTCTAGACATGGCCACCACCAAGCGACGGACATCCCTTTGGAAAACAAACAAAATTAATTAACATAGTTCAAGATTAATAACATAAGTATGCAGCTTGTTTTGTTTTGTTTTTTTTTTAACATATTCCACTCATTATTTCTGTTCAGTTATAGCAATAAAAAGTTAAGCTTCTTAAAAACTTAATAGAATAAACATTAAGTTAATCAGTGTCGTGTGACTAGTTAAACCAAGTAAAGTTAATGCTTTATCACTGACCTCCATGTTTTTGTTTTTGTGAGGGGGGAATCATGACCAATGCACTGATTAAAAGATCTAAGTAGCTATAGTAGTATTATGGTACAAGAAGTCACGTCTTAAGAATGTGAAAAAGACAAAAGCACTAGACAGTAATAAAAAAAAAGGTGGAGAATGAACGAGGCAGTATTCATGTATTCCTACTGTGAGTTTTGGAGACATTTTAATTACGTAAATCATGATGATGCCGTATTTAGACAGTAGCTATAAATAAGCAAAAACAAACTATTTTAGAATGCAATAATTCTGAAACAATTTCTTGAAAATTACATCTTTGTTTACTCTTACATAAAAGTTATCAGTCTAATGGAACCTGATGAGCGGGGCTAAGCTCCAAGCAGATTTTGACTTAAATGACAACATTATGAGAGGTTGGAGAATTTTTTCTTTATATCCACCAAATAAAATAATAAAATGAACTCTCATTATAGTTTTTGCCACTAAGTCATATGAGATAAAAGTTTACACAAAACTAAATGGCTGCTTTGTAACAAGAAAGTATTATTCCCATAATTCTGTAGCACATAAATACATCACAATAAATGATAAAAATAGATTATTGTTTGTTTTGACAATTCTTAATCCTGGGAGAACAAATGGTTCCTTTATCCTCTAACAGTGAGGCTGAAAGACTGTGTGAGGAAAAAGTCAGAAATCCTATGCAATGAGAAATGTACTCTGAAGACTATTTTTACCACCTTCTTAACTCTTTTAATTTCTGACACTGTTTCCAAAAAACATCATATATTAAGATTTTATAATAAAATTCTGTCTCTGCTACTGAAGATTAAAAAGTAAATGTACTAAATATATTAAAGATTCAAAAAATTCAGATGCAATGACAATAGTTAACTATATAAAGAATCTGATATTGTTACACTCCAAAAAGCTGCCAAACCAAAAGCTGCCATACCAATTAATTATACTTTAAACTTAAAAAAATTTAAAGCCACTTAGCTACAGAAGTTCAAAATTGAAGCAGACAGTAAAGTTTAATAATATAAACATTTTTCCTTATGTACCTCAGATGGCCCACTGCCCTGGTTCGTACTAGAGAAAGAAGAATATAATCATTTTGTTGACCTTGAAATCTGTCAACAGTTGTCACCTAGGGAGAAAAAAAATGGAAAATATGGTATCTTTTCAAACTCACCACAACAAGACTTTAGAGAGATCATTTAAATCATATGCCAGCACAAAAATCTTATCATTAGAATAATCCCAAGAGAAACATGATCATATACTTGGAATTGAGAAAAACAGTTGATGAACACTATGAAATAAATCTCAGGAACCAGATTAGACTATGTCCCCATGTTATTTACACTTACAGCATTCATCTTTACCTCTGCTGACAACGAAGTAACTATCTGTAGAATTAACAGTCTTCCCCCACTAGACGACCCAAGTCCATGGACACAGGTCCTGTTTATCTTATTACCTGGTATACCAGTTTGATACCCAGCAACATAACCTAGCATGTTCACTTAGGATTTAATGGGGTGCAGCACAGTGATTTCAGAATTCTACACATCACGCAGTGCTCACCACTGCAAGAGTACTCCTTAATCCCTATCACCTATTTAACCCATTCCCTCACCCTCCTCCCCTCCGGTAACCATTAGTTTGTTCTCTATAATTAGAAGTGTTTCTTAATTTGTCACTCTTTTTTTCCCCCTCCTTTGCTCATTTGTTTTGTTTTTTAAACTCCACATGAATGAAATCATATGGTGTCTGTCTTTCTCTGACTTATTTCCCTTAGCATGGTACTCTCCAGTTCCAACCATGTTGCTACAAATGGCAGGATTTCATTATTTCTTTAATGGGTAATATCCCACTGTGTGTGTGTGTGTGTGTGTGTGTGTGTGTGTGTGTGTGTATGTGTGTGTACACATCTTCTTTATCATCAATCCACGGACACTTTGGCTGCTTCTGTATCTTGGCTATTGTACCTAAGTGCGTATATCCCTTTGAAATAGTGTTTTTATATTCTTTGGGTAAATACCCAGTAGTGCGATTGCTGGATCATAGGGTAGATCTATTTTTAATTTTATGAAGAACCTCCTTACTGTTTGCCACAGGGGCTGCAGCAGTTTGCATTTGGTTTGGGGCTACCTTGAATAAAGCTGCAGTTCATGTATAAGTATATTTGTGAACATGTTTTCATTGCTCTTGAATGACTATCTAGGAGTGAAATTGCTGAGTTGTATGGTAAGTGTATGTTTAACTTCACGAGAAACTGTCAAAATGTTTTCCAAAGGTGCTGTGCCACTTTACACATCCACCAGCACTGTTCCAGATTCAGAGTTCCAGTTTCTCCACATCCTTGCCGACACTTGGTATACTGTAGACCTCGTCAATTTTAGCCAATCTACTTGGTGTGTCATTGTAGTTTTAATCTGTATTTCCCTGACAATGAATGATGGTAAGCATTTTTCATGTGCTTATGGGCCATTCCTATGTCTTCCTGCATGAAGTACCTATTCATTTGCCAATTTTGTATTGGGTCGTCTTTATTTAACAATGACTGTCACAGGAGTTCTTATATTTTGGATTTAAGTCCTTTGCTCTTACACGTGGATATAATCCCTGGAAATGTGTTCCCAACCTGACCATGTGGAGACCTTGTCTGAGAAATGGGTTCACACACTGAGAATGGCAGAGCAGAAGGATGGAATGAATCTTGGTCTTTGATGACATGATGGAGTCATTTCTGTAACCCAACCCTGGAGCCATTCCATTTTTGTCTTCTTGTGTGAGAGAGAGTAACTTTCTTCTATTATTTCAGTTAAGTTTTTGTGTTATAAATAATAAAAGGACTCGGATACCGATGTTCTACTTCTCAACTTTCTGTATTTCAAAGCTATTAGTTTCTCACTTCCATGTTCCACATTCCTTATGGAGTGGCCGGTGTGTCCTTGTACTCTTTTCAACTGTCTCCATTTCTGGATTTTTGTTTTATTTTCTTCCAGCTCACATTTCATCTCTTCCCGAGTTCTTCCATTTCTGTGCTTTGTAGCCTTCCCTCACAGAAATGATTACTTCATTAAGCACTTTAAAATCCACTGCCGGGGCGCCTGGGTGGCGCAGTCGGTTAAGCGTCTGACTTCAGCCAGGTCATGATCTCGTGGTCCGTGAGTTCGAGCCCCGTGTCAGGCTCTGGGCTGATGGCTCAGAGCCTGGAGCCTGTTTCCGATTCTGTGTCTCCCTCTCTCTCTGCCCCTCCCCTGTTCATGCTCTGTCTCTCTCTGTCCCAAAAATAAATAAAAACGTTGAAAAAAAAAATAAATAAAATCCACTGCAAATATGTATTTGATGTTTTCATCTGTTCCAGGACAACGCGTTATCTGAAGCAAATGTCTTGTCAGTATGCTTTGTGCTAGGTTCCTTTGTCTGACTCTTTCATCACTGAATAAGTGGGTTTCTTGGATTAGCTATGTGCAAGAGGTTAAACTGGGGTGAGCTGGACAGTTTCCTAAAGGCTGCATTTTCACAACAGAAGGTTCTCATTTCCTCTGCTGCTGTAGAGACAAGTCTACTTTTTGGCAAACATGAAGGCTTCTTTGAACCAATCTGGGACCAGGAACACTTCTAATTTCCACAACTGTTGTTGATGAATAAGAAGGTGGCTCTTACACTTCAGAGTGTGCCACTCACCTTCAGAAAGTGCTTTCAAGACTGGTCCCCTAAATTCTCTTCTTCCCACATTTTCTTTCTGTTCTTGGTCACCTGATCTATGTCATCTCCCTAACAATGGAGTTTGTCTTCTCCTTCCATTTTCCTGTTACTCTTGGATGATTTCCAAGAAAAAGTGAGAGCACTTTGATATAGCCATGTTTACAACCAAGCTCTTAATTTCATCATTAGTAATATATTTGTTATCCTTAACTTTCAGCCCTTTATTGATATAATCAAGTGTCTTCATATTTATTTGATATTACTCCATGCCACATAAAAAACTTAAAAAGTATAAAAATAATCGTCAGGTCTGATGGTACTTTACAATCTTCTCTGATTCTCAAGAAAAAACACTCTCCCACACACATACAGTAAAAAGCAGTACAAATTATACCTTTGCAAAATAAAATAAAAAGTTCTATAATTTCTTTTTTCCTTTTTGAAGGTTTCAATTTTGATGAAATGCAATTTGTCAAAATGGTTTTTTTTATGAAATTTATTGTCAAATTGGTTTCCATACAACACCCAGTGCTCATCCCAAAAAATGCCCTCTTCAATACCCATCACCCACCCTCCTCTCCCTCCCACCCCCCATCAACCCTCAGTTTGTTCTGTTTTTAAGAGTCTCTTATGCTTTGGCTCTCTCCCACTCTAACCTCTTTTTTTTTTTTTCCCCTTCCCCTCCCCCATGGGTTTCTGTTAATTTTCTCACAATCCATATAAGAGTGAAAACATATGGTATCTGTCTTTCTCTGTATGGCTTATTTCATTTAGCATAACACTCTCCAGTTCCATCCACGTTGCTAAAAAGTTCTATAATTTCTATTTCTATTATAACGGTACATAAATAACGTCATTTCATTGTCCTTCATTTTACCAACAAAAAGTTTTAGGATCATTTACTTCTGATTATCACCAACAAAAATCTTTAATGTGGTAGTTGAGACAGAAGTTCACAGTAAACCAACAACAATCTCAGCTAGGACTGCCAAAGAATTATTTATAGTTCCCATTATTTCATTTTCTCACATCATGAAAGGAGATAGCATAAAGGCAAAGTAGAACAATATAAATAACTCATAATAAATACAAATTTTTCCACTTGCCAACATGATGAATAAGAGAACATATAATATTCATAAAATTACCTTGTTTGGTCTTCCAATCAATGGATTGCTTCCACATCGTCTATTGATGATGTCACGAATAAGATGCTTTTGCCCATTATATGTTGTTAGAATACTGATCTTGTCAGCAGGGTAACCAAGTAAACACATGTACATAAAAAGTGCCACTACATATTCTGCTTCTCCAAGATTCTGTAATGTAAACATAAACAGATTATGTCTTTATTTCCTTTCATTTCAGTTTTACAGAAAGAATGGAAAACTGGCACAACTGTTGATTTATTACAATTCAAGAAGTGACATTAACTTGGATAACTGAACACCTTCTGTAAAACTGAGGGATAACTCTATCCTAGATTAATAATGATAAATAAAGAGTATATGGTAATTATTTCTCTTTGATATTTGGAATATATCAGTGATACATGGAATAATCATAAAATAAGTTACCAACTTAATGGCTTAATATTTCTGGGACCACCACAATCATAATAAAGATCAATAGTATTCTGCTACAATACACTGCAACTGTAGGTATGAATGAAATAGTAACACAAAGGAGCAAGGTAACCATCTAAGAAGCCAGCAGAAAAATCCAATATAATAGCATATGCATCTAATAGTACTGAGGTGGACTCTCAATTGGGGTGCAACGTTTTCTCCTTTTTCCTTAGTATTTCCTTGTGCTTTTTATGTTTGGTCTCTTCTTATGGTTGCCACCTCTACCAGACCACTTTAAAGTGAGAAGAGAATGCGGCCTCAAATTGGTCAGTCTGGCTTACATTTATGCTAAGCTGAATCCGAAAGCGAGGAAGCAAACCCAAAGCTTTGTACAGTTCAGTAGCGACTAAATCAAAAGCATTAGAAGACAGAAAAAAGTAAAATGAGAACATAAAACACAACATGAAAATCAAAAGAGGAAGACAAGAAGCTGGATTTCATGTAAAGGCAAAAGGAAAATTCTGGAAGACCTTCAGAAAAATCATTTATATTCTGATTCTGGGTTACACTCACAGTTTGAGTTACCTCTTTCATTTAACTTTTCTAGTTCTTTGGAAGACAGGAAGGAAGAGAAGCTACATGACTGTAAATCTGTTGTCTGTACTGATAGTAACTACATTTATCTAATCAGCTCTAACATAGGTAAAATCTTTTGATGTATATGCTGCTGGATCTTTAATATAGATTATCTGTATACACTTCTATGTTTTGTTGATCCTCTTTAAAAATAAAATGGCGGGGGGGGGGGACGCCTGAGTGGCTCAGTGGGTTGAGCATCTGACTTCGGCTCAGGTCATGATCTATTGGTTCAAGGGTTGGAGCCCTGGGTCAAGCTCTGTGCTGGCAGCTCAGAGCCGGGAGCCTGCTTTGGTTTCTGTGTCTCCCTCTCTCTCTCTCTGCCCCTCCCCTGCTCATGCTCTCTCTCTCAAAAATAAATAAACATTAAAAAACAATTACTATCACTTAAAAAAAATAAATAAATAAAAATAAAAATAAAATGGGATCCTATACAACGTATTTTGAAACCTGACTTTTTTTCATTTAATATAGCATAAACATTTTCCCTGTCAGTGAACAAAGTTATAATCTTAGGATTCTTAATGCCTATTCATTATTTCATTATATGAAATAGGTAATAATGTAATTACTCCCCACTGATATTTAGGTTGTTTCTCTTTTCTAAAATACTATGCAGTAAAAGAAAAAAGATATGATAGATATTTTAGCATATAAGTCTTTGCAAACTTGTCCAATAATTTTTTAGGATAAATTCCTTAGAGTGAGAACACTGCTTTTAATACATACTGACAGTTCACCAAACTGTTTTCCTACTAGCATTGCATGAATATAGAATTTCCGCAAACCAACTCCATGCTGAGTATTAGTGGAGGTGAAAATATGGTCCGGTAACTTATAGCTGCTACGAATCTCTTTTTTTTGTGTGAAACACAATATTCTTGTCCTTACTGCCTTTGTCTGTTTGGGTGTTAATTATTTTAAAAGGTGACTTATAGGAGTTCTGTATGTATGTTCAGAATTCAAATCCACAATTTGTTAAATCTTAAAAATAAATTTTGTCTCCAATCAATATTTTTCTTTATGACGTCTACTTTTGGTAACGAGCTTAAGGCCTTTCTCATCCCAACATTACGTATTCATCAGTATTTTCTTCTTTCTAGTGTGTTTATACTTTCTTTTCTTTGATGTATCTTTATCTGAAATTGAAATTTTTGTGTTGTGTATGAGGTAGGGACCTAGTTTTCCTTTTTTCAATGGCTAGCCAAATGGTTCGGTATCACTGATTTAGGTAGTAATTCAGCTAGGCAAATGCAAAATAAACCTAAAAATTTTATGTTTTTTCTTACCTGATAAAAATAAGGATTAGGTTCAGACTCTCCCACTCCTTGAAAATCTTCCACATTGATGAGTTGGAAGTCATAAAGCAAGCCAGCATTTGCTGTACTAAACTCCGGCAAGAGCTGTACATGGGGTAAGTTTCCCAGATTCTTGTATCGCCAGTTGTAGAGGTTACACAAGCTTCCGAAAGACAAATCCCACCCCAAACAGGAAACATTAATAATGTAAAATCTTCTTCTAATATACATAAGGGGGTTCCTAAGGAACTGTGCTCTTCCTTTTAATTCTCATGTTAACCATTTTGCTCTCATCGTTTTAGCGATAATGCTTTTTCAACTTTGCCTCCCTGCTTCAAGCAACCAAAGGTCAGAAGACTTGATGATACTATAGAGATGAAGCTCTATTGTGTACTCTGAGGTAAATGTTATCTTTAATCCTTAAATTAAAAAACCAGGAAAAAAAATCAGGGAAAAGCCTGTAACTTGAGGAGTATTTTGAGGTAATTATGAGATGGGGCCTATATACTCAATATAAATAAGAACTGGTGTGTTTTCCTTGTTTACCTTTTGCTTTAGATTTCAAAATGATATTAACTGTATATCTTACACTTAATATGGGGCATACAGTTAATGGGGGCATAAAGACAGTGAAAGTGACAGAGAAAAGAAGCCCTCAGTTCACAAATCACATACATTAATCTTAGTGAACGAAGTGCAGGAAATAACTTAGTTCACATACCACGCAAAAGGCAATACAGGCACTTTCAGATTTGTAGATGCCAAGTTCCTAGACAGCTGGGAATACTAGAGTCTCTACAGAATATGCTATCAAATACTTGGATTATGGAACAGGGGTCCTTAAACAGGGAATACTTAAGGCTCCTTTACCTTGCTCTGGCTCGCCCTTGAGCATCAAGGTCCACAGTAGGAACTCCAACACGGACAAAGCGAGTGAACAGAGACTGCTCCATATTTGAATACTTCTGAAAGGCCATATTCTTAATGACTGGAGGTAACTGGTGATGATCACCAATCATAATCCAGCGTTTCAGTCGGCTAAAACCATCTTGAGGATTCTAGAAATGAAAAGTAAGGAGATGACAAAATACTGATTAATATATTATCCTATTAGTCTCCAATTTATCATACAAGAGTCCTATTTACAAAACAGCTTTATTAGCTTACTAATTCTCATTCACCAGCTCCACAGAGAGACATCTGGCAAATGTACAGAATGACTTGTGAGCCACAAACAGGTGCCATCACCCTCGTGGCTCACAGTGGGTGAGGGAGGGTGGAAGGATTGAGAGGGCAAGCATGAAATTAACTCTGCTTTACCAGGTAGGGCAATCCAAAGAGGTCTGGAAGACTCTGGTCAGAATTAAGCAAAGGGTACACAGAAAGAAACAGATGACCAAACAGGGAAATGGAAGGATGTCAGAGTAGACACCTCATATCACAATTACGCCAAGAACCAGTTCTGAAAACCTCCAAAGCAGTAAAAATTATGTCTTTAATATTTCCCACAGTATTACTTCCATTTCCTGCTTTATAGCTCTCCTTGTTCCTTGAAACATACCCTGATAAAATGCATTCCAAGTCCAAAATAATTTGGCTTATAAAACAACTTTTAGAACCCAATTTAACTATGAATTAAAGCAGTCTTTATTCTTAAATTGGGATTCCACATTTTAATTCTTCCATAGTAAAGACTATGGTACAGTAAGAAACATTCTTAAACATCATCAGTTGGCTAAAAAAATTTAGGCATAAAATAAAGAAAAGCAATGTACTCAGTGAACATCAAAAACAATTCTAGAAACAACTCTAACAAAAGAAATGAAAAAATAGCTCATCTACCCTCCACACTGCATAACAATGTAATTTTCTTGATTAAAATTACTAAGCCTTTTCAAAACTTAAAGATAAACTATGAATTTTTAAGTAGTACTCCCGGAAACAAAACAAACTACTAAATAACCACTGAACAGATTAAAGGAAGTTTATAGGCTTAAAATAGATTAGCAACCATAATGAAGTTAAAGAGAATATGTAATTATGGCAATTAGCACCCCAAAACTGTGTAGCTTTTTGACACTGCCCCCCGGAATTCTTCAAACTCTACTTTCTTTGTTTCAGACCTCAGTCTCCTCCTACCTGTAGAAGAAGAGGTATAAAAGTTTCTATCTCCAGAATCTGCGCAGCCTCTTCCATTAAAATGTTGTCATACTGAGAAAGGGAGAAAAAAGGAAATCTTGTCAAAAAGGCAGCTTGAAATCTAAACAACTACCACCATAACTGTAACAACTAGCCAAAAAAACCCAAATAATATTAGACAAAAATAACATCATACAAATTATTCAAACATGATGCCCCTGCTTTTCTAGTTCAAGTCTTAGACCTCAGGGAAGTCCTCTAAATAAACAACTACCTTGAGGAGATCTCACAGATCATTTCTTGCATTGCCCATCAACTTAAGTTATTTTCAATTCTGTTCTTGAAGTTCTACATAAGAATCAAATTATGATTATATATGAGGTCATTTCCATTGATACTCTTACCCTAGGTAGTATTTGGGCGCATTTATTTTTCCCTTATGAATTCTACCCAGCACATGATAATCCACCTCTGTTGTATCTCTGGCAATTTGTCACCAAAGCATGCAATTTTATCTTCAAAACTCCCTCTCCATTTCTACCACCATGACCACTGAAATCCAAGCCACTTCTCTATATTGCCAGAAATCTCTTTACTAGTCCTTCCCCTTCCTGGCTTGCCTCTCATAAACCACTGATACAACAGGCATCAGATCATGTCACCAACTGGTTCCAAATCCTTCAATGGCTTCTAATTGTCGTAGGAAAAAAATCCCTGAACATGGCCTGCACAAGATGTATTAATAAGGGCCTATATTCAATTTGGTCTCTGTCTTCCTCTCCTACCCTTCTCCTTACTAATTAAACTTTAACCATGTTGACCTATTTCATTTTCTTAGAAATGGCAAAATGTTCTGACTTCAGGCCCTCTGTAATACTATTCTCTCATTTTTTTGTTTGCTTGGCTTTTTCTTATTCTTAAAGTACCAGCTTAAAACCCACTTTATCCAGGTCTTCTCTCACCTCCAAATCTAAAACTGATTTCACAGAACTCTGTCCATTTGTCTCACAGCACATCACAATTTGTAATTCTATCTGTATATTTACTTGTTTGGTATCTGTATCCTTCCACTAGCCCAGTTTCTGGTAACGCCAAGTATTGCACACTTATAAAATAATGAAAAATCAAGTCTTTCTCCAACATAAGGAATTTTCCTTCTTTCTTTCATGATTACTTCCATCTGCCCAATTATCTGCTAGATCTATTCTCGACATGCTTTCCTTCCCCTCCACTTCTAATTCTGATTGTTAGTGTGACATCCCCTTCCTTGTCTTATTGGTAAAATACCTTCTTTGAGAATCTCACTAAATACAAATTAGAGTTCCTTTTTTTGTGTGTTTTTAAAGTTTTCTCCTCTTAGTCTGTTTTCTAGAGAGGCAGAAGGTAGGAGCATATATTTACTCTTAATGATTAACTAACCCTCCGCTTTTAAATGGATTGTATTGTTTATATATACAGTACTATAATTTCTGTGCTATTAATTTTTACCAAACTCTGCTTCTACCTATTTGTTTGTCCAAGGTAAGTAGCTAAGATGAATTTCCATTGGAAATCCAATGATGAAAGTTAGGGTTCAATTATATACTGTTTTCTACTGAAAATGACTAAGGGTTAGGCATGTAGATAGGTGTCTTCTCTAGCTCTATCTGATGCTGAATTTCCCTATTACAAGGATTAATTAGGTCATCCCTGTAGGAGCTTAGGAGGAGTTCCAAGAGCCACATTTTCTCACAAGTCTCTGCATGGACTCTCAGGATAATAGACATGATATGAAAAAGAGTGGGAGCAGCTCAAAGATGTTTTAAAGAGCCTGCTTTCTGAAAAATAACTGAAAATCTAATGCAATTTAACTTACCAAAAACATATCTATAGATTCTACTTTGTAAAAGACGATTTTAATCACCAAGCAAGATTATGACATAACCATATTGGGCATATTAAGGCAGGAAGAGAGCATATGACTGTGCATGCATGTCCCCGTGGGGACAGCACAAGGTCAAATGACAAAGTCTAAAAGGGAAAGAACAAAGGAAATACTAAAAGAGCTGAAAGAATGGTTGATTATCAGGGGAGTAAGGGACTGACCTTTCTTAATGTTAAGTAGCTCTATAAGGTTTTTAAATGTTTAAACCACATGCAGGTGTTTAAGTTTGATAAAAATAAAACTTCAAAACTGAAAATATAAAAAAATGTAAGGAATACTCTTAGCACTCATGCTAACTACATACGAATAGCACAATTAAACAAATGATTAATGAAAATTTGATAAGCTACAAGTAATGCTTTTTAGAACGTGCATATGAAAAGCTGCAAGACACCATAAAATGTTATTTATGATTTTGCACCATTTCCCTTGTTATTAAACTGATAGTATTTAATATCAAATAAAGCATATTTTATTTATTTTAACAATTATTTATTTATTTTTGAGAGAGAGAGGGAGCGTGCAGGAGGGGCAGAGACAGAGGGATAGCGTTCTCAAGAAAGTTGGGCCCTGTCAGCGCACAGCCCATACCGGGCTTGAACCCACGGACCGTGAGATCATGCAAGAGTCGGACACTCAACAAACAGCCACCCAGGCGCCCCAGTATATAATGTCAGTCCCAGAAACAAAATATTTAGGTGAAAAATTCTCACTAATAATTTTGCAAAAGGGTAAATTCACACCACTCGTGTAAGTTCACAGTACCTTTTCATAATTTATCGTACTTGTGTTACCTTGCAGCTGAGGAACCTTTTCATCCAAGATAGCAACTCTTCTATCACCTTGAATTTTTTTAGCACTTACCTTCCAGTGAGCTCACAACATTTAAAATTTCTCAGTTACTTTCATTAACAACAAATGCCTTGCTAACTTTGAATTCAAACCAGTACACAAACCCTAATTTTAAACAACAGATAAACCAGTTTCAGAGAAGTGAAATGATTTGCATTAAAATCAGAGTTTAGGCCTGTATCACTAGCAAAGTCACAAAGAGCCTGCAGATTCAAATTTACTGCTCATTTATTACATTCTACTTTAAATGAGTCATAGGCTATCAGGCTATGGTGCCCATTAACTCTCCTGTCTTTTATCATATGATGAAATCATTTTAATAGCTCATCCTACAGTCTAAATGAGGATCCCATATCCTTATATGGAAAGCTTTTCGTCTACTGAATGAACAAATAACTGGGAGTGAAGGTGTACTCAAAACATGAATAATGCAAGCATATAAATGTCTAATAGGTGAAAAACATTGTCATATGTTATTTTTATAGGTTTTAGTTCTGTTTGGAGATTTTTTAACATAGTGAAAACAGATGAATTTACCTTAACAAACATTAGAATTTAGTTAGACGATTATGGTCATAATGTTATTTAGTGGCCATAGGTCCAATAAGTAGACTTAGAAAAATTAGATTTAGAGTACACTAATCATGTAAACATCCGAGGTTATCATCATTTTCAGAAGAGACGTTTTTAAGTAATTTTGAGTGTGAACTTCAGTCAGAGGTAAGCAATCTCCAAGGAAAATGGCGTAGGTAAAAGAAAGGAAAGGGGAAAAAGGAAAAGAAAGGAGAGGAAAGAAAACACTAACAACTGAACAGATGATGAACTAAGGAACTAAGTCTCTACCTTGAAACCTAGCTTGACTAAATCATGTCGTTTTAAGGCAGCATGAGTACAGGTCATAGCAATGATTTTAGCTTCTTTCACCAAAAGGTATTTAGATCTGTCCAGTCCACTTCGAAGCAGTTCGGAAGCTCTGAATTCCTATGGGAGTGGGAGTCAGTGAGAGACTATGTTAGGAAGATAAACACATTTTATGCATACATTCCTACAATCCAGTTTATCAGAATTAATTCTTGATGAGCTAATATAAATAAATCACAAACTAAGCCTAATGAATCATAATTTTATTCATTATTAATTAGATACTAATTGTGTTCAAATAATAACTGATATTCAAGCTATAATTTAGGCTGTTTTTGTATAATGTAAAATATTTACTGTATCAATAAGATTACTGAATAAAACATCTATCTCATTATTTATTTTACTCAAGGTCCCTCCATGAAAACTATTTCAAGTATTCATAACAAAGGGAATTGAACGCAGGGGTCTGGTTTCACAGGTGAGAGAAGCCAGTCAGGGAATGGTTGAAGTAACCCAGAGATTAGCAATAGTACGAACCATTGTAGAATCTGACCATTCCTAGGCTAGGATAGACAAGGGAAGGAGGCAGTGTTGTCAGAGCCCAGGGACTGGGGTACCAGAATAATTCAGAACAATCATAGTGAGCCAGGCCAACTGAAATTGGAGCCATGGAAGAGATGAAATCCAAGGCAGCTGGTGGAGAAATATCCTAGCTTCTCTTTTTCTGCCACATTTTTATTGGCTGAACCGAGCCAGAAGTCAGCTGATAAGGGAGGGCAGGATCAGCCCCACCTGTGACCATGGCAGAGGATCCCCCACAGAGCAGAGTAGAGGATGGACAGCAGATGCTGAATGAGGAGCAAACAAGCTCAAGCAGAGTACCTAATACAAAGTTTTTTAAATCTGAACATTATGTCATACTTACTTCCGACATTTTGAACATGTTTGTTTTTTAAATAATTAAAACAATACAGGTACAGGAGAGGTATGCTATTTAAATCTCTCCCACCCTCTCCCAAGACACCTACTATTATGAATTAAGTATATTTTTTCCTTTTACTTTCTGTTTATGTAATCATAAGCATACGCTAATATTGTTTCATGGGTTCTTAAAATTTTATTTATTATTATACTGTATATTTATTATTTTGTACCTCCTGTCCATCCACCCATCCATCGACCTACTCATACATATTTACTAAACATATACTACGTGCCAGATACTCTTCTAGGAAGAAGAGTATTTGTATCTAAAGGGTACAAATAAAACAAAGCCACTGCTCCTTTACCTGGAATAATCCTGAATCATCCTACTGAGGAATGTGAGCTTGAATGTGATCCCTTTATGCTATAGTCTTCAAATGATGTTTTCCATAGGGAATGAGAAAAGTAGGAAGCACAAGGGGGCTGGTATAGGTGCCTGGATTCCAGACATATTTTTCTCTTATTTTACCTTAATACTCAACATAAATCAACCTGGCTAACAAAGCAACCTCACTTTTTGCCACTGATCAGAAGGCATAAAGAACATGCCTTCTGGCCATGTGGCAGTCTCAGATTCTAATTCAAAGAAACACTATTGAATCTCCTGAGGGAAGCATTCCTTTCTTAAATTCGAAGACTTTTACACCAGAAAAGTAAAAATAATGGGGATTCAATTCATATCTTAATTTTTACTCACTTCTTGAACTAAAACTATAAATGTTTTCTTTTTCTTTTTTTTTTAAGGGATAATTTATTTTGAGAGAGAGAGAGAGAGAGAGAGAGAGAGAGCAAGCTCACCAGCAGGGGAGGGGCAGAGAGGGAGAAGGGAGAATCCCAAGCAGGCTCTGTGCTGTCAGCACAGAGCCCGATGCGGGGCTTCATCCCACAAACCGTGAGATCATGAACTGAGCTGAAATCAAGAGTCAGAAACTTAACTGACTGAGCCACCCAGGCACCCCTATGAATGTTTTCAATAATCTCACTTAAAAGTAACAATCTGGTTTGTAACATGTGAATATTCCACATTTACTTCATTAAAAACAAAACCCGAAACCCAACTAAACTCAAAACCTTAAAAGGAAAGTTAAAAAAAACTTGAGAATCCTTACCTCAAGCTGAGTAAAGATTTTCTTAATGTGCCTGAAACATCCTTCAGCAATTTCCATGTCTTCTTCATAAGATCGGCCTTTAAAAATGGGTTGAGGGGCATTTGCAAAGTATTCATGAAAAGGGAAGAAAGTGGAGACTTCCGTGACATCTGGCAGTGTATTACCTTTATTTTTCACTTTGCTGATATATTCTTCCCAACGAGACATGACCTATAAAAAAAAAGGGACTTGACTTCAAATTTCTCAGCTAGTTATTATACTTTAAATGATAAAATAAAAGAGGTATCTAATAAAAATAAGACTTGCTAAGGGAAAGAAAAAAAAAAGCAGTCCTTGACCCAACAGGACTATTTCTTATCTGAGTCACTGACAGACTGCCCTTCTTTTATAAAAGTGACCTTTAAGAAAAAGGTTCTTTAATAAAAATGTAAAAGCTAGAAAGAACCTCAGGGTCATCTCATGGGACTTTTTGATCTTAGACATTTCAGACTCCATGGATACTCAAAACAGTATTACTGATGCTTAAAAAACAAAACAAAACTAACAACTCCTAAACAAAGAAATTTTTTATTTTTGCATCTCAGTTTCTCTCCATATATGGGAAGTCCCACTTTAGCACCATTTAAGTAAATTTGGCATTTCCAACCCTTCTTCCAGACCCTAATAATTTTTCCAATCCTCTTTTGTACATTTACAATGAACTTCTGTTAAACTGAGTATGTATCTGAAAACTCATTTTATGACTTTGTGATAGAGCTCGATTATATCCTGGTATGTTGTAGTATGCCGCTACCATGCAGTTCCTGCTCTATCTCAATTTTGGTAATTCTCCTAGCCTTTTACAGTTTACAACTTCAGGTTTCTCCAAGTGTGGTTCTTAGGCAGAACATCTGAGAGGCAAAACAAAGATGTAGATTCCTGGATGCCCCCTCTTACTGAGAGAGAATCTCTGGAGACAAACTTCCCAATCCTCCCATCCACCTCCCCTCCTGCAATACACTTTGTTCTCTGTATTTAAGAGTCTCTTATGGTTTGCCCTCCCCTGTTTTTATCTTAAAATAACTTTCCCACTGTGATTTTTACGTGTTGAAACTTGTTAATCTATACTGTTAATTTTTTAAAAAATTTACAGTTGTTAATCTGTACTGTTAATTTTTCCCAAGTCGATTACTTAAGCCTCCACAAATGTATAGATTATTTCCCCTACTTTAAAGGTAGTTTTCACTGAGAGCCCAATGATTTTTATTTTGTGCCAAATATACATTTAGACATGATCTTTATTCCACTATTCAAAGTTCTAAACTGCCTGAGTCTAATGCAGACAGACTACTTTGCAAGATGATGTGTATCTTCTCTGTGTCACAAGGAACCATGAAATCTGATCATTTTAAATGGATTGAACTGGTTAGGGTGTCTACTTATATCGAACATACACCCATTCCTTCAAATACATTTTAAAATTTCAATGTTACAGTTGAGACTTAAAATATATGAGTAACATGAATACAAAAAGAATAATGTTATACAAAATTGTCCATTATATGATTATGCCTTACTCTGCTTAAAATTATTAGCAAACCAACTGATTATTAAGGTTTATTTCTATTCATTTTTTATTTAGCTTTCTATTTCTCAATGGTTCTCACACCCCAAAAAATTAACCCTAAGAAAAACAAAAAAAAAAAGCACACCTTTAAACTGAAGTCAAAAGAATTTTTAACTTAAACCCCTACTTTTGAAACTGGCTG